GTAAAGGGGAGAGTGAGGAAAGGATGACATTTTAATAGAATGTCGTAATTATTTCAGTCTTTGGTACCAGCAATTTACTGCCGATCATTTTCTGTTAATAGAAATCAAGTAATGTATATATAACTCACGCAACTACAACTGGCTACAATGTGCTGGAGGAAGATTCCTTAGGGTAATACTTTGATTTCTTTTCCTATGTGGGTGTGGTTGAAAGAAAATCTTTGTTCCAGGAACACTTTGTTTGTCTTTTGCTAAACAAAAGTGTAATTTATCCATTCTTTATTCATTATTATCTGCTAGAACTATTATGAATTGGAAAGTGGTAAATGTCCTACACAGCAATTATTGACAGTCCTTGTTTCATGGGTAACTTTGCATAGGAGTGTTTGTTTATGTGTGTCTGAAATGCATAAGGAGGAAAGAAGTAGCAGAGGAATTTAAATAAGAATTTTTGAAAGGGTTGTTTCGTTTTATTTGTTTCTCAGTACAGTAAGGCAAAATAAAAATAGACAGCTGTTGAACAATTTAATACTTTTGTAGCTGTATCAAGAGGAAGTTAATGCAATGCAAAAGCTTAGAAGGAAGGTACAGGCTCTTAGAGTTTTATATCTGGAAAGCTCTGCCAAACTCATAATTTTATACTCTGCTATACATACCTTTCATAATCAGGTGATCATGCTTTGTCCTGAGCAAAGAATGTTTCTCCAGGTAATTAAGTTATGTCTGTCTGAATTCCAAAGAAGAGACTCAAGATGTCTTCACTCAGTGCAACTTTGACCTAGATGTATATTGGTTCTTCCAGATCTCACCTTTATTCCGGATCTTCTCTTTAATCTCACTTCAACTGGTTTGTTCACTTTCAGGGGAGTCCTGAAAGTCTCCTGAGCTTTCTCTGATTTTTGTAAATGTTAAAGGCAGCTTCCCTGGGGGTAGCTAATTGTAATTTGCCTTTGTCTAAACACTGCCAAAATTCTGGTCCAAATGAGTGGTTCTGTTCATAAGCAATGAAGTTATCATAATTTCTGTTTTGGCATCACTAAGCATTACCACATTCAACCAGGACCCAACTGTGCCTCTAGCCTCTTAGTGTGGAAAGAGGTTAATGAGGGGCAGGGGTTCTAGTCTTGCAAATCCTCCAGTTGGCTTTATTTCCTATCACATGGGTAGAAAGTAGAAACTCGATATACATGAAAGGTGTGTCAATAATATTAAATTGTTGCAATGGGAATTGCAGTGTTCTAAAATAATAACAACCTAACTTAACCAGAGTAGAAGAATGCTGGCTTATCCCGGCTCGATTCTGCAGTTTTTGATGAAACAAAAATCTCATATTTTACTTGATCGAAGGCCACTATCCTCATCCCTAATATTGTAAATTAGTTATATGATTATTATTTAATACAACAATAATTATTATTTGTGACATTTGTTATAATGAATAGTTCATCAAATTTAGAGCTAAAAAATAGAGTTATAGTCTCACCTTGATCACCGTCTACTTCTTTGAGAGCCGGAACTAGACACTGGAGTGTCTGAACCTCAGTTTTCCTATCTCTAAAGGAGGGAACATTAGCAAGTAGTAATGTTACTAGTAGGGTTGTTGTGAGGAACAAAGGAGATACCTTGTGTGAATGACCTTGGTAAATATCAGTGTCTTATTACTGGTGCCAGAAATGATAGTAGTATTTGCTCTGTTTTCTAAATAGTAATACAATCAGCTCCTCATATATTTGGCTAAGAGGGCTTTCCTTTCACTTCCTTACTGTCTTCTGTGATACCTGCAAAAACTCTGGAAAAGTGGCAAAAAGAAGGAAATTTGGTCCTAAGTTCTGTTGTAGATACACTGGGCATTTAGATAAAAGCATGTATCTGGAGAATGGAATATATGTACACTTCATACACATGCACATAAGAGAGAAATATTACAATCCATACTGAAATTCTTAAAAGTTCTGCAGAAAACTAAACTCAGGTTCAGAGACAGTGCTTTCACAGTTTAATGTGCATGAGCTTCCAGAGAGCTTGTCAAAAAATGGGCCCCAATCTTAGAGATTCTGAATCAGTGGTTCTTGATGGGCCGCACGACGTCTGCATTTTTATAGTCATCCCGTGTAACTCTGATGCAGACAGTCCCAGGCAGACTCTTAGAGTTACTATCTCCAGAATTAATGGATATTGCCAAAAGTTTTTCCATGATGGAATCAGAGAGAACTTGCTGATTTACTTCCAACAGAAAGAGGATTCCTGGAGTGATTAACATTTGAGGAACTTCATGAAGAAAGAGGATTGAATGTTTCATGCTAATGAAGAAGAAGGAGAGAGAGAGGGAGAGAGAGAGAAAGAGAGAGAGAACTGAAAATAGACAGGGAATTGATTCCAATGAGAACAGAGAATTAGGATGAGGTAAGACATGACTTCATCATGGAAAATGGTCAGAGAAAAATCAGGAGAATGATGGAACAGGAAGCTAGTAACATGGCCCAAGAATCCAGGTGAGGTCTTTGTATAAAAGTAATTCTGAAGCATCCATTCTTTTTTTTTTTTTTTTTTTTTAAAGATTTTTATTTATATTATTTTATTTATTTATACAAGCACTGGGTACAGTCAGAAGCGCGGGAGGGTGAGAGAATTCACCAGAGCCAGAGCGGGGAGCAGAGCAGGCAGAAGGACCAAAGTACACTGCTGAGGGGAGCAGCGGGCGGCAGGAGAGGTCTGCGCGCCATGTGGGACCCTCCTCCGGTGGCCGGGGAGCAGCCGGGGATCGAACCGGCGCTGCAGAGGCAGCGGGCAGCTTCGCAACCTAGCGCTCAACCGCTGCGCCACCGGGGAGGCCCGCATCCATTCTTTTTTACCTTCATTCAACCTGAAAAGCACAACTGTCTCCATTTCATTTTATGAACACTTAGAAGAAATGATACGACGTTTCTCCTATCACAGAAAGCCAACGACCAAGATAGAATTTGGGAATCAACAGGTACTTGCAAACTATTTAATATGTACAGGAGATGGTATCAGGTCCTGGCCTGGCTGAAATAGGTCTTGGAGGGTTGTGGTTATACACATCTCTCTTATCTTATTTTGGACAAATTTTGGTCATCTTGGACAAATGGAGTGTAATAATATGATTGACACATGGGAACTGCTTGTTCAAATATTATTGAGGTATTCTAGAGCTCTGATGATATTTAGTATTTCCATTATATTGTTTGTGTTTTAACTCTATAGAAAGGACAGATCTGAACCCCCAGGTGAAAACTAGTGTCTTGATCTGCTGTAAAAATCTCAAATTGGCCTGTCTTGGAACTGACATCAGCATCTCAAAACTACTTTTCATTTAGGGACTTGCCTTCAGTGTAAACATATTTCCTTTTAATTAAGTATGCCAGCTGACAAAGTGGCTCTCCCCAAACCAGGCTGGAGCCTAAGAAATGTAAACTGTTAAAAGATGTCATCTTGAAAGCAGTTAAACATCTCCATTCTCAGAGAAACCTCTAGTCTGAGGAACTAAGTGAACATAATTAGAAATACATCTGGGGATTGGCCGCCTATCTGTAAAGGTCACAGGCACACCTTCCATTGGTACTAGTTATGTTCCATCATTATGTTCTGTCCTTACTCATTCATCTCCCACTGGTTACCAGATGGCCACAAGAATGTTGGTATCCCTAACAACTGTCTTGTGCAATTCCCTGCAGCCTGGTTAAGGCTCCAAATATCGAGTATTTTCCCTCTGGATAAGCAAGTGACATATCTGGGAATTGCTTACAACTGTCCTGATGGTATGGTTGTAGAGAATGATGGCAAATTGGGTCATGGAGCTTAAATTCAGCTTGATGGTGTGTGGGTGGTAGGCTACCAAGGGCAGGTGCTTGCTCTTTTTCAAGTTTAAGATGAAAGAAGACTTCATGCATGCAGAATCTAGTTTTTATAAGTGAGCACTTAATATGGCAAGGCATAAATAAGCATTAAGATCCCTGTAAGAGAGAACTTCATTATAGTTGCTGAAATGTTCTCCAGAGTTAAGTTGCTTCTGATGGAACTCTCTCAGGAGGATGCTTGAGGAGCCAATCAGTGTGGTTTTCTGATGGTTCAAGTTACTGGATGGATTTGATGAACATTAGAGAGAGGAAAAATGGGTGGGGGAGGCGGAGAAGCTGAATGTGTCAATGAAGCTGAATCAGTCTCAATACAGCAAAGGTTTATTTGCGGCTTGTCTTATAGATCTGTTTTGGATCAACCAGGCCCTCTGCTCCATGTTTTTCTCAGTCTGAGACCCAGACTGGCAGAGCCAGCACGACCTGGAATATCACAAATGTCCAGAGCAGAAGCAAGGAGAGAGTGTGGTCATTCGTCACCCACTTCTGTTGCTGGCCAAAATAAGTCACATGGCCTCTTGACTCCAATGGGTTGGGAAGCACTATCTTTCTGCAGGACCATAACAAGAAAACGAAATATTGTTGAATAGCACTAATGACCTCCAGAGCGGATGATGACACTATTTAGAGCTACATTTCCCTGGGGTCTTTGCAGTGGCCTCAAGCACTGAAAGATTATATAATAATAATTTTTGAAAAAAGAGCAATACCAAACTGGAAAGAAGTACAAAAAACTTAACAGAATGCTGATTGTTCCTATGATGGTGACTTTGATGTTTAAAATCCATGTCAGATCCCTTCAAAACAGTTTTTTTAGCTCTGCTGCTTGCTGGTGACCCGTACATTATTTAATCTGACTCTCTGGTCATCCTACTCTTTCTTTTCTCCACTTTTTTCTTTTGTCTATAGGTTGCCTGAGGCTTTTGTGTGGGGCTGGATGATGAGGTGGGGCTAGGAGGATGCTGGCATTAACCAGACTGTGTTAAAGGTGAACTGGTAGAAGCATCTTGTTGAAGACTGCAGTTTTAGTACAAACCCAGAAATGCTTATATGAAATTATGCCATGGCCATGACAGCTCCTTGCTAGAGGGAAGAGGGTAATGGAGTGTTTTCTTGTTTGTCTAGGGGAGGACGAGGAAGACACGAACGTGATAGTTCTCAGCTACCCTCAGTACTGCCGGTACCGCTCCATGCTGAAGCGCATCCAGGATAAGCCGTCTTCCATCCTAACGGACCAATTTGCGTTGGCCCTGGGGGGCATTGCAGTGGTCAGCAAGAACCCTCAGATCCTGTACTGTCGGGACACCTTTGACCACCCGACTCTCATAGAAAATGAGAGTATATGTGATGAGTTTGGTGAGTCTTTTTTTTCCTACCTGAAACTTGTGCATGTGTGTCTGCTTGTTTTCAGTTCTTGTGAAGAGCAGTGAAGGGGAACAGGGCTTATTTTCGCAAGCATCACCTCACCCCCCCAACTCCCAATTATTGCAGCATAAGGCGTCATTGCCTCCTTGGCAGCCTCTGCTTACCAGGGTAAAAGATTGTTATTTAGAATTTGTTGTTCAATACAAAGTCTGAAGTTGCTTGGTCGACCTTGAAATTGGACTTTGGGACCGGAAGCTTTTAGGTTAGTTCTTTCTTGAGAGGTTTGGGCTCTTCAGATACTGATTTTTTTTATTATTATTATTATTATTATTATTATTTATCGGATCACTCTCTTTTCAGTATTATAAAGGAACTGTAAAAATGCACCACTTATAATCTCTTCAGTATCGTAAACTGAATAAAGATGATAGATGATAGACAGATGACAGATTCCCCCATCTGTGCATTTTTTCATATATATTCTATGTATGTGTATGTGATGTATATGAAATCTTTACACACTGTGCCCACCACGATGGATATATGCACACGTATCTGTATCTGCATCTGTGCTTAACTGATGGTTCATGTGTCTCTAGAAATTGAAGGGAAGGGGGAATACCACCCCCTCAGTTTGGGAGAACTTGCATGCAAGCCAGGACCACGTCTTTCACATCTTCATGTTCTCATCTGGGACTTGAAGAGCTTCAATCATAGCAGTGGTCCTCAACAGCTTAGACAGGACTATCAAGTACCCAGAGGGTGCTTTATCAAGCTATATATGTTCCCTGGAAACTGTGAACTCTCCACACCCTTACCCTGCCCTTTTCTTTGGGAACTGTGACCTTCGTGGACCAGTGTGATGACCGAGCCATGTTAAATCCCTCATGAGTACCAGGATGGAAAAGTTGTGGAGACCTCTGATGCATAGAAAGCACAGGGGCCCTTTGATATGGAACATTCTTTGAATCTGTTGGTTAACACACCTCTTGTGTGCTGATCATTCAGGTTCATGTTGTTCTCTTTCACCATTGCAGGCCTTGGTATGACTTTGGGGAGTCCACTCTGGCCACTGATAAGCTGGTGTGTGGGCAGAGGGGGAGTGAGGATGAGAGTACGGAAAATGATGATCCAGTAAGGAAGGGAAGAAAGAAAGGCAGGCCCCTAATTTTATTGGGCATGACTTTCTCTTACAGATTTTTTTAGATCCCTTTACAATCCTGGCTTACAAATGGCTGTCAACTACAAGAGAATGTTTATAGTGTTTATACAAGTTATTTTTTCTTTCCAAAAGGAATTTATTATCATACTTTTAATATTCCAATAACCTGTTTTGTCAAATAGATGAATGTATCCATGTTTTAAAGCACATCTCTTTTCAGATCAGTGTTTATAAATCTTCCCTTTTTAATTCTTTTTCTTTTGTAGCCCCTACACCAAAACCTTGGGTCTTGCTTGCCACTCAAAAAGTCTCTAAATTCTTGACACAAAATAAAACTGAAAGAATGCCTTCCCTCACTTAAGAGTATTCAAAATTAGAATTTCACAATGTGATATAATGTAAAAATGTTTTAACCTTTTTGGCTAATTTAAGAGATATTAGTCACTGAGTTTCAAAGCTGTTGCATCTAGAATGGGTAATAGAAGTTCCAATTTAACAGCAATCACAATGGTTGTTAAGAGTTACTAAATTAGTTTTAAATGTTCTCACAAACACAAGCATCTGACTTTTGAATGTTTTCCCAAACTTTCTTCTGGTATAGCTAATGTTAATGCTATTTTTCTTCTCCAGCCTCTTAAAGTGGAACCTTTCTTTTGGACTAAAGGTACCTTTAAAGAGCTTCTAGATGGCTAGTTTTATAACTAGAACATAGATATTTTTAGTTCAGTTAGTACTTCAAGTAGTTTGTACTTGTTATAATATTTCATTTTAGTAAATGAACAAAAAAACTTAATTTGATCTCATTTGAACACATTCACCAACATCCCTCCCCCACCTTCCACTTTTGGTCACACTTCTAAATTCCCAGAGAACACCCTTTTAAAGCTTCAACTGGTTGTGTTTGAAATCAACATGTAAAGGGTTTGTTAAAATGCGGGGTTGGGTTTCTCCAACCAACTAACAGTTGGTGGAAGAACATAAATTTAATTAGTGACTAGCATTAAACAAATGTTCCTAATATTAAACACTGCCAGATGACTGAAACACTTCTGTCAGATTACCGCTAGTGCCAGGGGGCCCACAGACAAATTTTGTACATAGTATATATTCTGTACCATGCATTTGGTGACTTCAGTAATTGGTCAAATGTAATTTAGGTAACAGTATGCCCAGGCTGTAAAAATCAAATTTTATTAGCCATATCACCAGGTGGGTGAATGGTGGAGCTGATGGCAAAGAGTTTATAGCATTTAGCAGCTACACCTTTGACACATGAAATTCATAAATTGCCATAAAATACCTCCAAGGCCCTTCTCAAAAGGACAGTGTCTGCTTTCCTATGATTAAATAATGTTTATTTTATTAATATTTTTTTTTTGCTTTATTCTGTTAAATGGGATTATGGCGCAGGGGTGGGGAGGTGGGGGGAGGGGTGTTCAAAAAATAAATAAGCCTCAGTCCTTGCTTATTTGGAGGATTTAAAATCTAATTGGGGAAGACAGGATTAATGCACCTGAAAGGTTAACTAACGTTACAAGAAAGTCAATGATTAAGTATTTGGTGAGTGTTGCTTAAAGCAAGTGTAGTAGGAATGTAGAGGTGTAGCTGGGGGTGGGGGAGGAAATATGCCAGAGAGGGTGAAAATGGTGGGGGGGGTGTGCGGTTTTCAGGGAGAGTCTCATGGGAAAAGGCAGAACTGGATCTGATTATGAGGAATCTGGACGTAGGTTATTAGAAAACTCTTAGAAATATCAAAATCATTTAAAATCCATGCTTTAAATGAATCGTAACAAAATGAGTGAATGAATGAAATTCATGCCCTGACTCCATGTCCTCAACCTGGGTCAACTATTGGCCTCTCTTAAGTTTCTTTGCCCTTACTCACCAGCCTCAGTAGCCCTTACTCTCTGGGTGGGTTTTATTCGTGGCCAGACACCCTCTCTACCAGTGAGACATGAATGTGAGTTGTTCTGCCAGGGACAGGAAAAACATAAGCAGTGGCTTTGGGACTGAAACTGACTTTCCTTCTTGAGCAGGGAACCCCCACACTTCCTCTGTGTGATGCACTGCCCTTGCATTCCCCAGTTTATCTCCAAAAATGGGCTTTGCTCTGTGTGACAACCTTACCCAGAATGCCCCCTTACCCAGTATTTTAACATTGCCCACTGAATAACAGGTTTAATTGAACAATAAACTAAGACTTTTAAATTGCAGTGTGTCCCTTTAAATAAATTCTCCATAGAATTTTATGAAGCTGTTTAATGAAAAGTTTGATTAGAAACTATTAAAGAAAAATAGAATAGATGAAATTTCATCATTTAGTCTAACATTACAATAGTGTCATTTTGATTTTTATTTACATTGAGATATTCAGAATAAATATATCCTGGATTTAATTAACTATCCTCCTTACTTGGGAAAGGTTATTTTAGGCTTGAAGGGTTTTGATAGCATACCATCTGCTTTCTTCACTGTATTTTATTCAAGACCCTTCCTTGCTCACGGCACTGTGCAATGTCTAAACCTATGACATAAGCATAAATTGAATCATATTAATGGTAGGTGATTGAAAAGCTTCAGCCTCAACATCCTGCCGGCATTCTTCCATCTTGTCAGTTGCAACACTCTTAAAGGCAATGTGCTCTTAACACAAGAGAATTGACTATTTTAAAACTAAAGCCATGGACTCCCCATTAAAACATTATGAAAACTGGTTGTATTGCACTTGCAGTTAGAAAATGAGATTATAATAATGAGGGAAAAGTGACATTAGGAATGGCAGTTTTTTCATAAAAATCTTTACCCTTTGCATAATTCCTCCCCCACTGCCCTTTTGAATCTCCCACCTTTCTTTTTATCTCTTTTCATAATTCCTCGCTTGTAAAATACATGCTGTCATTTACATTGTGTTATTTTCTATGCTGTAGAGAAAACATACACATGCAGACATTTTGTCTGTTTTTCCTGTTAGAAGAATAAAATGTCCTCCACTTTATAATGCTCAGTGTTTACATTAATATCACACAGATTGATTTCATATGTGTGAGGTGTTGACAGCTAAATCCAAACAAAGGCAAGCACTGTACAGTGGATAAATGGATAACTTTAAGGTACTACTGGCTTCTATCAGAGACCTATAAGGTGGACTCAACATATGCAAATAAGATTAAACAAGTCCTTCAAGGTAGGTGGGAATAAATGGAGTAAGATATGGTTGATTTTAAAAAATGATAAAAGACTTGGTTCTTTCTGTTTAAGTTTTGAATTGCAAACATAAGTTGCAAAGTTCCTTGGCAGTTGTGTGTGTGTGTGTTTTGACCAAGAAAGGGTACGGGGTTAAAGGAAGGATGTGGTAATTCACCTGAAAGAACAGAGACGAGAGACTCTCATCCTGGCATTCGGTCCAGACATAGAACACCATGAGCTCTGGTATTCAAAGGGAAAAAAAAAGTTGACTATGTCAATATTAAACTATATTTTTTGCCGAAGGTGAGAGAGGAGGAGGAGTGGTGTGGGAGAGGACAACACTGTTTAATAGAGAGTGTGAGACTTATAGGCAAATACCCAGGTTCCAATCCGAGTCAACCATCAGGTTTACCACATATCTGGGCAATACCCTTTACTCGTCCCATCTGTAACATTAAGTAGTAATTGCCCAAGCTGTAGGCTCAGAATATTTATTCTGTATTCTCTTAACTAAAAAATTCTCTTAATAAGTGAAGATTTTCTAGTGTTGATTTTAGAGTTTTGAACCTCTAAAGGCATCGAAGCCAGTCTTTTTTTTTAAATTAATATTTTATTTTATATAATTCTTACATCATTTTTCATT